GTTCATCAGTGGTGTTTCAAAATACTATGGAATAACTTTCGCTGAAGGAATGATTCAGCTAAAATAAAATCCAGTGAATATACATGTAACATTTTACATTCTACTCGTCAAAAATCAGCGAAAATTAATTCCAGCTAAAATAAAATCCAGTGAATATACATGTAACATTGTTCTTATATTTTACATTCTACTCGTCAAAAATCAGCGAAAATTAATTCCAGCTAAAATAAAATCCAGTGAATATACATGTAACATTGTTCTTATATTTTACATTCTACTCGTCAAAAATCAGCAAAAATTAATTCCAGCTAAAATAAAATCCAGTGAATATACATGTAACATTGTTCTTATATTTTACATTCTACTCGTCAAAAATCAGCAAAAATTAATTCCAGCTAAAATAAAATCCAGTGAATATACATGTAACATTGTTCCTATATTTTACATTCTACTCGTCACAAATCAGCGAAAATAAAGTTTTTAACAGTATTTATTTTATCATGATTTCATAAAAAAATTAAACCAGTCAGAAAAATCGTGAAATAGTGAATGAAATACAGATATACAGATTTTTTTGAACTTGGTGATTGTCTATGATTTCACCATATACTGTGGAATACTTTATTTTCGCTGAATTAATTTTCACTGAAAAGGCTTTTTGGTTGTTTTGTATGGAATTTATTTCACTGATTTCTGATGAGTTCAATGTGAAATATAGGAAAAAAAGTATATTCGCTGGATTTTATTTTCATGGAATCATCCCTTCAGCGAAAATAAATTCCAAGCGAAAATAAAGTATTCTACAGTACATGAACATATGATACAGCTAGGTATTTTACGCATTGGGAACACAAATGAACTTTGATCCTATCCAGTTTGTACCATACTTATGTGTGACAGCAGTGATATACTAGTATCTATATACACGCACTGCATTTACAGATAAAGATAAACTTTGACCCCAGACCATTTTAACCATAAGCATGGAACTATAAAACCACAGGAAGAACAACCTTTTCGTTTCCTTTGAACCACGATAGTTGCCGCGATGTTGAATGTTTATTTTGACTGTTTATTTCGTTGCATTAAAAAATAAGCCAATTTACGCAAATGAACGTTAATCTCCGACTATCGGTCATTTTCGGAGTCAATCATGCGACTTCGGAAGATCACATGATCGAGTTGTTTCGGTTATAGCATAAAAAAACAATAACGCCAAGACAAAAACACTGATAAATGAGCGACATTCAACGGGGGAAAAAAAAAACACATTGCCACTTCTGGCGATCAAAGGGAAACACGAAATAAGTGACTAGTCAGGATATCTCGACAACAAACAACATACCAAACTCCATGTTTCGCAAACTTTGGCAACCTTATTTTATTCGAGGGTTGAAAAAAAACAAGAAGTAATTCAAAAACAACATTGAAAATGATGAAAACTGCTAAACTCCGACCCGTTGCACGACTTCCAGTACACTGAGATCAACCTGCAGACCAACTTGTTTGCACATGCATATTGAACAAAATATTTTACTGTGCAGATATGAAATAATTTTTTTTCAAGTTTTCCATTCCCAGCAGATACGGGCGTATCGGCGGCAACTAACATGCAGTATGACTAATGTTGTGGAAAGCACTGTAAGATAAACTAAGACAAAGGTTTTTTTAATCTTCTTAGTTTCATTGTTCTTCCTGTGGTTTATTGTTCCATGCCATAAGCTGCATAGCTGGAAGATTTCTGCTTTTTGAACTTTGACCTTACTGTAAAACAGTTTATTTTCACTCACATTTAATTTCACTATTTTGATGTTTTGAGCATATTCATAACACATTCTGATGCATCTTATCTTTGATAATTTTTACCTAAATATTATTTTGTTGTTAACTATCTTTTTCCCAGACTTCCTGGCACTGTAAGCGAAGGGCAATGTCACATATCAGTCAAATGAAAACTAGACAGACTTGAGGCAACACAATACCCTGGGGAGAAGATGACAACATACTCCTAGTAACAACTTTTATTATATTTTGAAAGATATTTTGGACATGCTGGAATTTAACTTTTCTCTTTGAAAGGATATTTTTTGTAGGTAAGGTTTGAAAGTATAGAAGTTTTGGGTAAAAAAAAAAATTTTAAAGAATTTTTTTTTTTTTCACACTATTTGTAGAATGTCTAAACATTGTGTTCCTTATAAACCAAGTGCTCGTCTTTTAATGAAGATGACTGACATCAGATCTCCCTAATTATTCATTTGACATGAGTAAATTATTATTTGAACACTATTAAATTTTAATTTTTTTTTTGCGCCAGATGTAGTCACTGCTCAGACCTCAAATTGAAATTAACAGTAGCCCCAAAGCATAAAGTCTACCAAATATTGTCCTGGAGCTACCATTTATATAAGCTAGTAACCCACCTGAACTACTGTAAAATGACCACCGGTAATTTTCACTGGGTTTAAATTTCGCTGATTTTCCATTTCAGGCATATTCAGTGGGTTTAATTTAAATTCACGGTTTTATCCTTTAGATAATGTGTTATATACTAAATTTTACATTCACTGGGTTTTAATTTAGCTCATTTTCCAGTCAGCGAAATAACCCTTTTACAGTATTAGAAATTGCATGTCTCCAAAATCTAATACTACATGTTTGGAAGGTAGAACAGACTGTTCTAATTTATACAGCTGAGTAAGCAGCTGGCCCACAAACTCCCTGATACACTGTCCGAGACGAATATGCAAATCCGTTTTTCACTACTCAGTTTTCTAAATATCGTAATTTTGTAACAGTGAAAATTTTGTAGTAGTCTTATGACATAAATTCTTTAAAATTTTCAAATTGTGAAATTTTCTACCAACGAGAATTAATATTCCATTAGCTGGAGGTCTTGGACAAAATTTATGAAGAAAATTACACAGATTCATTTTGTGAAAGCCGGTAGTGTTCAATAGGTTACTAGGAAATCATTGTAGCGAAGAGCAGTCCTTCCAGGTGTGAGGTGGTGAACAATGGATTGAGTGTAAACTGTGCTCAGAGCATGCATCATATTCAAAATATCCCTGAAAATTCACCTTTTTATAATTGCATTCACTAAAAACACATAATAATATAGTTTAAAATCAATAAATACAACCAACAAATTATTTGTGATCTTAAAAAGCTGTGAAAAAAATAAAAACACACAACTGAAGGACACAAAACAGGGGGCCCTGGAAGCTGAATAAACATCTTTATAGTGAG